CATTGTGCAGATTCTCATGGTACAGCCTCATCAACAACATATGAAAATTTCAGTTTCTCCACATCTACACAAACCTTTAGTGGTATCAGTATATTTAACTTAATCAGTACTCATTATAGTCTTGTTTGTTGTGGCTTTAGTATTTTCTTGTGATAAACGTGTGTAATTTATTCATGCACTTATTAATTTTTTTGGTCAATCTATTCTTGTAAAGTGCCTATTGCAATATTGTACCATTTTTAAATTGAGTTATTCTTAAAATAATATGGACAACACAGTGTTTGTTAGATGTTTAGAATGTAAAAAGTCCTCCCAGTGACAGACTCTCCTCTTCAGTTTGCCTCAATTTTGCAGTTAAATGTTCAGCGGTTTTTATTGGTTCAGTTTTGACTAACCCTTTAATTTGTTTCTTTATATCCCACATTTAAGTGAAAACATCCGGTGTTTGTCTTTCTCTTGAAGTATTTCACTTAGCTTTGGGCTCTCCAGCTCTACACATGTTGTTACAAATGGCAAGAATTCATATTTTTTATAGATGACTGCATCCCATTGTGTGTATTTATATATGTATGTATATTCACATAATGTATATACCACACTGTACACACAATGCATATATTCATATATATATATATGCACATATATATCTCTATCACATTTTTCTGACCTACTTTTCCTGTTCTTGGGCATTTTGTTGTTTGCAGAACTTGATTAGAGAGTAAAATAGAGCTACAACAAAAATCAGAGTGCATAAATCATTTTATTTTATTTTAGAAGCTCTATAATTTGTTTTTACTTCTAGGTCTTGAACCATCTTGGAATTCATTTTTATAACCAGTGCGGGGTGGGACGTTAGGTTTATTTTTGTCCATATGTATATTGTTTTCTAGTACCATTTATCAAAAACATTCTTTTCACTATTGAACACATTTGACATTTTTGTAAAAATGAACTTTTTTCACAAATGAGTGAATTTTCTTACAGGCTCTCTCTTCTGTTCCACTGACCAGTGATTTATCCCAACGGTTTTCAAATGAGGTGCAAATTGTGACTTTGTCTATCGTGCTCCTTCCATCTTCCAGTTTTGTTTTATGTATCTGAAGCTCTCCAATTAAGTCCCTATACTTTTAGAATTTTATTTTCATGATTCCAGAGTTAAAATTCTATACCAAGATGAATTGTCATTTGTTTTGAGAGGGTGAGTATTAACATTACTTATGAAATGTCCCTCATCTTTGATCACATCCTGTCTTGAGCTCTATATCCAGAAACATTTGTATATTCATTTAACAGATTGGGGTGGGTGGGAGGTATGACCAGGACAGTAAATGCCCTGTCCTAAAGAGCATGCTGAGGATAACCATAGGATAGCCTGACACCACAGAAACGGTGAATTTGCCAGGGGGACTTGTTGAAAAAGAAGTGTAGACACCACAAATCTGTGGCCACCCTGGGCCAGTGTTATTTTAAAATAACAATATCAATTTGACTGAAAAATACATGCTGATAAAAACATAGTTAATTTTCTACCTCTTCATCTATACTGTAAGCAGTGGTAGGCAGGAATGAAGTCTTTCTCAATCATGTTGTCTCAGAATCCAGCAAACTAGTAGGTGTTTAGTAGGTGGTTATCCGTTGTTTATAAATAAAGCAATTTCTATATGATGTTTACTCTGAGTACCTTTAGAATAGGGCCAAACTTTGAAAGTCAGCTCCCAGAATCTTAGCGTTTTTTAGTTCCTATATTCTTAATTTCAGAACATTTTGTAAAGTGGTAAGATTTTGTTTCTCATTTAACCATTTTTACTTACTAAGCTAGGTGGCAAGCCCTCCCTGTTCCTGCCTAAGATAAAACTTTCCAATAAGTCTGTCTTTTGTCTACGTGCTATACCTGACTCCAGTTGAGGAGAAATGGGTTCATAAAGGTTAAGTGGATCACAGCCTTTTCAAATAACCCAAAAGATCTTAGGAAAATAGAGATTCTTATTTAGCAGGTGAAGCCTGAGAGTCTGTATTTCTAACAAGCTTCCAGGAAATACCCACACTTCTGCTATGATGGCTGTTTTTTGCATAGCAGGGAGAAGGTGCCTAACTCCACAAATACAATCATTCATTTCTTAAACATTACTTCTGCTATGTGCCATGCACTGGACTACAAAAGGCAAATGATCGTGACACATGTCACCCAAGAAGCCCAGAGTCTATTGTGTGGCAGGAAACACAGTAACAATTAAGTTGGGTGGTGAGGTGAGAGAATAAGATGGCTACTGTTCCAGAGTAGTACATAGCAGTGAGCACTAATGTGTACTAATATACAGTATATTAAATATTAACAACAGTGTACTATAAGGCTGTCATGTGATAAATTTATCACAGCAAACACATTACAAAATTTAAAATATACCCAAGTAACACACTGCACTTTAAATTTATACAGTGTTATAAGTCAAAGTCATCTAAATTAAATGCTACAAGTTATATGATTATAAACAGACTTAGAAAACAAATAAGCAAAACCTTTTCAATATACGTATTTGATAAAGGAGTGTTCTCAAGTTTCACAAAGAACTCTTAAAATTCAACAATAAAGAAACAACCTGATTTAAAAAAGAGTAAAAGATCTGAAAAGACAACTCACCAGAAGATACACAGATGACAAGTAAGCATAAAAGATGTTCAGCACTGTGCTGTCACTAGAAAACTGAGACACCACCCCAGACCTATTAGAAAAGCTCAAGTTCCAGAACACTGGCAACACCAAATGTCAAATAACAGGAATGCACTTTCATTAAAGGCGGGAATGCAAAATGGTGTGGCCACTTTGGATGATACTTTGGCAGTTTCTTGTAAAACTAAGCATACTCTTACATAGGATCTGGTAATCATACTTCTTGCTATTTACTCAAATAAGTTAAAAACATGTGTACAGAAAACCCTGCACACAGATTTTTTTCAGCTTTATTCAAAAATTTCAAACTTTGGAAACAGCCAAGATGTCCTTTAATAAGTGATTGAGTAAACTGGTACATCCAGATAATGAAATATGATTCAGTACAAAGAGAAATGAATCATCAAATTGAAAAACACATGGAAGAAACTTAAAAATATATCATTAAGTGAAAGGAGACAATCGAAATAGGTACACATTTTGTGGTTGCAACTATGTGATATTCTAGAAAAACAAGGCAATGGAGATAGTTGAAAAGACCTGTGGTTGCCAGGAGCTTGGGAGAAAGGAAGAATAAATAGAGCACTCTGTAAATTACTATAAAGGGGGCATATACCACTATACATTTGTCAATACCCATAACATGACAGTACTAAGAGCAAACCGTAAAGCAAACGATGGACCTGGGTGGATGATGATGTGCTGGGGCTGGTTCACTGACAACAGCCAATACGCCACTCCTGTTCAGGAGGGCAGTGGGGCTGTGCTTGTGGGAACTCAACTTTCTGTTCAGCTTCATTGCATCTAAGACTATTGCTTAAAATATACACATATAATTTCTATATATATTATATATTACATGTTATATACATACAATGGGTCCTCAGATAATGTCACCTCATTATATTGTTGAGGAAAAAGCAATCCTGGCAATATTGACTGAATGGCATTGTTTGAGGACCTGCTTTCCTTAGGCATAGTTTTGCTTTAAGTCAGTTTCCAAAAAACCTACCAGTACCATGAAGTGCGGACTTAGTCTTTTTATACATGTAAACAGATATGGTAAGACCAGAGGAGCAATTCTGCGGCACAGAGAGCCACAATTTTGTGGCAAAACTGATCAAATAAAACATATACCAAACTAGCCTCAAGTTCAGAATTTCTCAAAGTGTGGACACTGGGAAACACCTATCAAAATCATCTGGGTTGTCTTTTTAACAAAGATTTAAAGCCTGGTTCTCCACATTCTGGCTCTCCACATCCTGGTTCTCTTGAGTCAGAATTTCTTAGTGCTGGGTGTTCATAATATTCAGTTTCGTAAGGACTTCAGTTATTTTTATATACCATAAAGTTTGAGAATCTCTTTCTATTTTACTTCCATGCAGTTTTTGACATAAAAGCCAACTTTACTTTCTTAACAGAAACAATTAGCAAATTTAAAATTCATGGAAAGTCGACACATTATCTACATTTTCTCACATGAGTAAGCCATATAAATAATACTGAAAATGATTTATTTAGAATTCATATATATATATATATACACACACACACACACATTTATATAACATTTATATAACTCTGCATAAGGCCTATTGCATTATATAATAGCAGCACTTGAAAGTCCTACTAGCCACAAACTGTTGAATAAAGTTGGAGCCTATTTTTGAAGTAATTAGACTTTAGGACATTCAGAAAGTCTAAAACCATTTTTTCTTGCTATATACTTAAGTGGCTGCAATTTCAGTATTTTAAAACAAACCAGCTTTCAACTATATTACTTCATTGTCATTTGCCTTGATTCCTTGGTAAGAAGAACAGCAAGACACAGATGTGATGAAGGAAAGTATGTTGGCCCATATAGGTCAACAAAATATTCTTTTCTCCATTCCATGAATAGCACCTTAATTTGCTATTGCATTAATCATGAAGCAATTTGAGTTATCAACCTGCATTTGCCTAAGCATATAAAATCTCAACGATTTTAATATTTATTCTGACATCCACAAGTGGATTAATTTAGCAGCATTAAGTCACATTCATATGTATTTCTCTGTGTGCCCCAAACACCAAGTCTCCACCTGGTTTATAAACGTACCATGTCTTAATCACTCCTACCTAGATTTGTGAAGCACTCTATAGGGCAGATGAACACATTTGCTTTTCAGGTATAGGGAATATCTACTCCATAGGCAGTTGATGTAACAATATCTTCTTCTCATCAAGTCTAATGTTTTTTCCTTTACATTTAAAAAATTCAGTATTAAATGAACAGAGAAAATGTTCTTATTATGCAAGATCAATTGGAAATACACTTATTAGCATCATCATCATCCATTTTATGTTAGTAAAATTACTATGTATTTTATTTTTCAAGTGTAGTGAACTGATTCAGATAACACAAACTTCTCTTCCCTACATGTCAGGAAGTTCCAAAGGAAATAAGTTTCTATACTGGATAAAATGTATCTAAGTTCAAGTACTCTGTTACTTATGATATCCTCAGCTTTAGAGAGAAGATTTTGTTGTTCAACTTCACAACATAGGAGCCTTTCAAAGAAGTTTCTGGAAGAAAGTTAGCTGTCCTATGGATTCTTAAGACCCAAGCACCAACATGGATGTCCTTAAAATGAAGCTTCTCGGGGCAAAAATATCATTTGAACTTTTGTTGGACTCCGGCAACGGTGTAGACATGCTGAGATCAGGCCCGAGTTACCTTCTCACACAGATGGCTGCGTATTCTGTAGGTGTGTCGTTCACTTGTCTTGCCTGTTTTGAGTTCATCCTAATAACTGAGTAGTTCAGGGAAGCATAAACAATGCCTTGTCTGTTTTCCTCCATACCTATATTAGAATAAACCCCAGACACATCCTGAATCCTGGACCAGGGTTCATTATCATAAATCACAATTTCTGATGGCAGGGCTTGGGAATTTTGCCTGGTGCCCACTTCAGTTTGTGCACAATTAAAGCTCTGGGGGACATCAACCTGTAAGGAAAAGAAGATATTTTAAGCACCACCTAAAGATATGATAAGCCATCAGCAAGCTCTGAGAGTAGACTAAATGAAATCTTTATACATTGAGAAAAATAATCTATTCTCTCCAAGTATTCTGCTGAACCTATATTTTTGAAGATTTTCACTTATTAAAGAATCACTGCTCTACCCAAACAGCTATCTTTGCCTTATTATTTGTCATTTTTGAAATCACAGGACACTTTTCATCCCTCTGCAAAATGAAAAGCACAGTCCAAATTCATGAGAAAAACAAAAATAAAACTACTATAATATAAACAATAGCATAAACACAGTTTAGAATAGATGATTAAAAGTAAAGCAGAATAGATACCCTACAAAGGGACAGAAAGAATAAATATTATGAGATATTCCAAAGGTATTATTATGATTTGAAACCTGGAATTTAAAGTTAACTGTCAACTTTGGGGCAAGGGGTGAAACTTAGAAAAAGTTCTAAGATATTCTAGTTATTAATTCCATTACAAGGGAAAATCCGTACATTTCCAAACTGAGTCAAATATCTTCTGAGAAAAAAGAGACTTTCAGTCTTCTAGTCAAATGTTTCTCTGAAAAAAGTGAACATCTATAAAATAAAAATGAAATGGGTCCTGATGTTTCAGCCTTTTCAGTAGTTTCCTAGCCAACCCTAGCTGTACCAGACACTCACCTGGTAAAAATGAAGGTACTGGATTAATACCAAAGCTTGTTATTTTAATTTTTAAATCCAAATGTGTCAGTTAATTATATTCCTGAAGGACGGTCTAATTCCTTTATGGCATCAGTGCACAGCCTGACTGTCTACCTGCCTTGTTACTCCTTGTCTTCTGCATTGTTAAGTGCACAGGGGCATCTCCTACACCTCCTTGGCAGAGCTTTGCAGGCAAGCACATGGGCCCTGCCCTGGAGGGTTAGTGTTAACTGCTGAGTACATGGTCTCCTCGGGTAAGACTGCTACCCAGGAAACAGGTTGGATGGTTGAAAGATGCTGGGGTTGCCCTCATCTTCCTCAATTCTGGGCTCCGACGGAAAGTCCCTCAGCTTCCACTCACAGGAACCTGGTCAAAGACTGGTAAAGTCATGTGACCTAAGCAAGAGTTATAAATCCTCCACTAGCCAGAAGGTGCCTGCTGCACTTTTCAATCTGTTTAAGTCTGTCAACTCAGGGATCTTGCTCCCTTCCCCAAATCTGATTTATCTCCTTGGGAATTTTTGTTAAAATGAAGATAACCAAACACATGGTGTTTTGTAGCTGAGGGCGGAGCTGCACTAAAGAGGAAGGGCACTTTCGAGCAGCCATTACAAGCACTCAGCAGCTTCTTACTCTACATTTGTATGGCACTTCACAATTTATAATGCACTTTCAAAAAACAAAACAAAACCAAAAAAGGATACAATTGAATGTTCATAGTATAAAGTACTTTTATACCTTCAATGAAACACTCTGGACTCAGATGAGAACATTGGTTGTTATATTTACCTGCTATGCTCTTTTTTCTTTTTTCTTTTTTTTTAAGATTTGTTTATCTATGCATACAGAACTGGGGTACAGGTCAGAGGTGCGGAGGGTGAGATTCACCAGAGACAGAGGACAGAGTGGGGAACAGAACAGGCAGATGGACTGAGATACACTGCTGAGGGGAGCAGTGGGCGAGACAGGAGAGGTCTGCCATGCCATGGGGGCCACCTCCCTGGCTGGGGATGGAGCTTGTGCTGCAGTGGCTGTGATAGCTTCATAGTGCTGTGCTTTAATCTGTTGTGTCACCAGGGAGGGCCAATTACCTGCTATGTTTTTTTTTTTTAAGATTTATTTATTTATGCATATAGAACTGGGGTACAGGCCAGAGATACGGAGGGTGAGAGGATTCACCAGAGACAGAGAGGGGAGCAGAACAGGCAGATCAATGAAGTACACTGCTGAGGGGAACAGCCGGCAGGTCAGGAGAGGTCTGCCACGCCATGTGGATCTCCTCCAGGGCAGGCGGGATTCGAACTCATGCAGAAGTGGCTTTAGCTTCTTAGTGCTGTGCTTTAACCAGCTGCGCCACCAGGGAGGGCCTACCTGCTATGTTTTTATCCCTTCCTTTCTCCACTGTGGGTTTCTACTCCACGGTTCCCATGCAAATTCCTTCTTAAGAAGTATTATCTCTTGTCTTGAGGATTATGGGTGTCTTGGTGGTAGGTGTGAGTGGAAATACCTGAAGGATGATCCTGTAACCTCTAAATTACGTACAGTGCTGTAAACCAAAGTTACCTCAATAACAACTTAAAAATTAATAAAAAATATTTAGTATTAAAGATCTAATATGATTGCTTTCTGATGTGTTTGGCAAGTTAGATATGGAGAAACTGAATTCCTAAGAACTGCATGAATAACTTAAAACAAAATTCCCAAATAATTATATACACAGGAAAAAAAACTTTAAATTCATCTTCAGTTCATGAATGATTCTTCTAGCTTATAAAGGACGAAATATAATTACATTTGAACAACTTTACTTACACAGTAAATTATTTTGTAAAATGCTTCATAGCTCTTAGACTTGATTATAACAGGATCAAGGAAGAAAGGAGATTCTACTTAAGAAAATTTCCTTACTTGAGTAAATAAGACCTCAGTACCCAACACAATCATACCTCTTGATGCTTACTAAGAGTTGAATACATTTAACTAGATGTAAAAATGAGACAAACTGGTTAGGGAATGCTGAGTCCCAGTTAACATTATATGTGGAATTATTGACTACATCTGTCTCTGGTATCTCTGGAACTTTCTAGAGGTTATTATATCGTTATCTCTACTCTTCTTTACTGAAACACACCTGTTCAAATATTCATACAACACTGAATCCATAAGAAATTTCAGGGCCCTCCCTGGTGGCACAACGGGTTAAAGCAGAGCACTCTAAACCTAGACACAGCCGCTTCAGTGCCAGTTCAATCCCCAGCCAGGGAAGTGACCCACATGGCGCAGCAGACCTCTCCTGTCTTGCCTGCTGCTCCCCTCAGCAGTCCACTTCGTCAATCTGCCTGTTCTGCTCCCCACTCTGTTTGTGGTGAATCCTCTCACTGCCCCTGCACCTCTGACCTGTACCCAGTTCTGTATGCATAAATAAATAAATCTTTAAAAAAAAAAAAGAAATTTCACAGTTTATATTCCAAGACTGAAGGAAAACTTGGCATTGCCTCTAAAGTGTCCTTTCCTTTGTGTGGGAGGTCCCTGCCTTGATGAGCTCACACACATTATCAAGAACTTTTGCAAAGTAACTAGACATGTAATCAGGCCTAATTATTTTTAATGCTGAGATTTATGAGGGAATGGAGTGATTTTATGAGGTTATTGGCATGTGCCGTCCTTTGCTAAACCCCAACTTTTTCCCAGATTGCTTTTATCCTACTTTTAAGAATAAATGAATAGTCTGATGTCACATAAGAAGTCAAGGGCAGGCTACATGGTTCAGTCTCTGCCTTATCTGCTTAGAATCTACACTTGGCAGCCAGGCTTTCCCAGAGGACTATTAATGAGACTTATCAGTCCTGAAGACTTATCTGCAAGTGGAAGTGACATTTTAAAAATAGCAACCCATATCTTATTCAGAACAATGTCTGGCAAATGGTGTTATAAAGTCATTAAGCAAAAATTGAATATGAACATGGCATCACATATTGAATTTGTTTTCACAAATATAGCAAACATACCAAGTTAATTTCCCTTCCTGCTGTATCAGTGGACTTCTTTTGTTCTCCTGGAATTAAAAAAAAAAAAAAACATCAAATAAGAAATCAAACGAAGAAAGAACAGCTAACTCCCTCCCCCACTTTTTGGGCTAGTGGTAAGAATATGGGTTCAGGAGTCAGATTGTGGAGTTGAAATCCCATCCCTAGAGCAAAAGTGGGGTGTCATCCCACCCATATTCTTGCGCTTCAGGAACAGTTATTAGCTTGGACTTTTTATTTCCTGTGACAAGTCTGGTACACATATCTCAGTGTGAGAATTTATGCTGCTTATTTTGTTCAATGGTTGGTTCTTCCCTTCTAACACTAAGTGTCTATAGCATATTCAAGAGGAAGGCCCAGGGCCTAATCTCTCTCTTCAAGAAAGGTTGGAAATGTTGTTCTGGGGATATTTTCTCCTCAATGCCAGACACTTTTGTCCTGGCATCTACACAATAAGCATATTATGGTTGACTTCAGATGTAGTAAGTGAAAGGACTTATTCCTGCCTTTCTCCTAAATTATCCAGGAGGTTTCAACAACCCCAGGAGGGTGATGAAACTCAGAGAGGAGCTAAGGGGAGTTGCAAATGCATATTTGGGGTGACAGATGAATCTCACAGAATTCTGGGTTCTAGAAGTCCTCACCACAAACTGCCAGAAACACTTTTCTTCAAACAAAGCTTTCTGTTATGAGAGAAACTATGTTTGTTCTGTCTAGCTTAGCTACAGAATGGCTACAGAATGGGAAAAGAGGTGAGAGGAGCTAACAACAGGGAAAACAAAGAGAAAGTACTTCAGGCCAGATCATATCTAGACAAGAATTCTCCACCTATTTCTCTTTCATCATGTGTATGTATGTCTTCTGTTGAGAACGTTCTTATAAAAGCTGAAAGAATTTGTTTTCAAAATGCTTAACATTCCCCATCATTGCCAAACCCATATTTTTCAAATGCATTACTGTTAGGACAGGGTTTTGTCTAAGAATGTGTCTGTGGTAGGAATAGAAAATACAGGCATAGGTATTTTCTATGACAAAGGTGTGTATTACTGGCACAAGGTGGTGTGGTTGTAAAAAAGAGGATGAGACACACAAACTCAAAACAGATAAGCTGACCCCCAATTATGTCAACCTCAACATCCTTAAAGTTTAGAAGAACTCCTTTTCACACAAACCTAAGACTGACACAAATAGAACAAAAAAGTCCCAGTAAGGTACCCTTCTTACTACAACCTTCCCAATTACCGTGTTGTGGTGAGCACAACTCATCAATGCTACAGGAGACATGAATTCATCCTTTTGGCTTTTTAGTGGAAGGATGAATTGTCCCCGCAGAAATCATTATTCATGGTTTATCATGAATAAACTGTGAATAATGGGTTCATGTTGGGAAATACAGGAAGCAGCTAAAAAGGTTCCCCTCCCCATAATTAAACATGGAATGTGTGACACATAGCAACCGAGGAAAATGGAACCCACCTTTGTGCCTCCTCAAGCAGCAGAATAGGTAGACACCAATTGTGAGCAGGGGAAGTACCCCCAAAGGAATCAGACTATAAAGGATCCAGCTTGAGTCCATCAGCTTTTTGTTGGAGGGAAGTCCTGAGGCACTTGTAGCTGAAGTGTGAGCTGCTGAAGATAGGATCTGAGATTCAGATAAGCACATCCTGTGCATACTAGAACTTGAACAGAGATTTCTGGCAGATGCTTCCATTTCTATCCAGAAGACTTTCCCTAAGAATCCCAGGCCTCAGTACTCTCCCCCACCTCTTGCTTTGTTAATAAGCATATATGAGTGACTCTGGGTTATCATTTACCTTTTGCAAAAGTTCTTTGTTCTGCTAGGGTTAATCCCCTATAAAATAATATCCCTACCAGCTCCCAAAAAGCACTTCACCAAATCCTTTCATTGACATTATCATATTGAAAGTCACCATATAAGAAAAGTAAGGAATTCACTGTTTTTGTTCAGTCCCATGTCTTTGAGAACAGATTTGTTATTTAAAGACTTCCTCAAAGCCAAACTAGTGAGTGGCAGTTGGAACTCGAACCGTTTTAAAGCTAAATTCAAGCTTTTGTTTGTTTGTTTGTTTGCTTGTTTGTTTAGCATAGAGCCTTCTCATGCCCTATCTCCAAACACCAAATACTTCTGGTATTTCCAAACATGCTTTGCTAGTCACACACATTCATAATGATCAATGTCAATGTGAATTAAGACTATGGCTGTCCTTGGGAAATGGCTACTTACTAGCTGGTCATAGAATATTTTGCTAGATCACAAATAACATTAAAAAAATGAAACAAAAAAAAAAAACAGAAAATATCACAAGACATCATTCAGTAGAGCAGTGGTTCTCAGCAGACATTTTTACCTCCCAGGGGACATTTGAAAATGTCTAGAAACATCTCTGCTGTTATAAGGGAGGAGTATGGTCCCTAGTCAGTAGAGGTCAGGGATGCTGCTAAATAGCCTTCATCATGCAGAGGAATCACCATCTGCCCACCCAACAAAGAATTACCTAAGCCACAATGTCAACAGAAACACCCCCCCGCCCCCGCCCGGTGGTAATTATGTGTTTAATTTTGCACATATATATGTGCATTGAGTTGTGATGTAAGATATTTTTTTTTAATTTTAGATTGCTGCTAACACAATGTGAAAAATACAGGAGTAAGATGTCTTATTTTAATGTAAGTATTTGCTTCCTCATATGCTGGCTTTTGGAGTAAAGGTAGTGAGAACTTGGAACAGAGCTTAAAGTGGTTTTGGTAACTGCTGCACTGTTCTGCTGCAGTTGCT